AGGAATATGAGACAGGAGAGGCCCACCTGGCCTGTAAAGTTCAGTTCCTTGCTTAGTGATCACTTAGTAGACTGGGGCTTGAAATGTTTTGGAATGTGCAGAGGAAACAGAAATTTAAAAACTTATTAGTCTTCTTCCCTGGAAAATCAGATATAATTGTGCACATTTGCATAGACAGGAAGAATTTTTAGGGAAACTATTATTCAGTGTAAAGCACCGAGTAGATCACAGACTTCAGGATGGGTGCAGCAATTTCACTGAGGTCTGAAAAGATTTCTGTAGTTCTTTTTACAGTACTCTAAAGTCAAATTCATTAGTTTTGTCTACAACTGTAGAGCAAAGAATTGTAGTGCCACCTTTTTTCTCTGAAAGAGACAAAATTGAGGATGGAAAAGACATCAAATGTGATTACCAAAAAGGTACTTATAAAAGTGTCACTTACTCCAATGTTCAGCTTAGCATTCCTATTGCTGGCAGTGCTTGTTTGCTAGTCCTGCCTACACTTCTAGTCGCAGGTAGCAGCCTTTTGTATGTTTCTGAGAATCCAAGGGCCCCCTGAACTCCAAATTAATGATTTTTATTTCTTTTCCTCAAATTCAGAAGTAGCGAGCCAATGGATCTCTAAGGTGACTTTTTTGTTTGTTTTTAAAATGTTTCACATCCAAGTGGTTACATACTCTTTTTTTCCATCCTATCCTCTGTGGTATCTAGCACAGGCATTTTCCAAAGCACTTGTCATTTATCTAACTCTATTTTCTTTAATGGAAGCAGACTTACACTCCTGGCAAGTGCTTTTGCAATTGTTGCGTGTGCGCAGTTTCAAACAAAGCGGGGTGGATGGGAGGGTGAGCTCTGTGTTCTCCAGCACGGGAAAGCCTGACAATGGAATAAGAAACTCAGCAGTTTACATTTGGGGGTGGGGGTGGGGTGGTGTTTCCTTTTGACTCGGTCCCCTGAAGACATTAGATCTTTTCCCTCCTTCATGGGGAAAGCTCTCAAAAAGCATAGCAATCCTGAGATCCCATTTGAAACTCATGACTTTTAGAAGTAAAGAAAAGGATAGGTGTCCTGTGTTATTCCCCGAGACCTTCTCATCTGCAGAGCAACACACCTTCAGAGTCCTGCAGCAAAGCAACCTTTTCCAGGCAATGTCCACCAGTAGGATCAGCGGGCAGAGAGGGGACAGAGATGTGACCTTTCTTTGCACAGCTAGTGGCACTGGGCTCACATAAAGGGGCGAATTGCTGCTGAAAACTGCAACGTGCTGAATGAGCAGAAGTTCAAAGTAGAAAGTCATTGTTAAACCGTATTGTTCACCCAACATGTGTGCTCATGTGCAACGATCAGTCAGCAGAGCTCTGGTTATATCCAAGAGCCAAAGATGTGCCCCGCATTGTGTTGGTTTGCCCAGCAGTGCTATGGAGGTAGAAAACATTATTTTGCCAAGATCAGTTTCGCAGGGTCCAGCCTGCGCCTCTCCCACAGGCTCCTGAGGTCCCAGGGATTGCAGGAAGGGTCACCAAACAACACAGAGCCTCCTTACCTACTTCTGTTGGAGCCTGCTCAAGACAGTATTTTTGATCGGGGGGAAAAAGGTAGTTCAAATACTAAATGAAAAAACAGTACGCATTATCATTTTTATAGGAACCGCAGAAAATTATTTCTATGTATTTGTGCTCCCTCTACTGGCTCTTCTGCTTTTACTGAAGGAAGTCAGAAGAAATTTTGCCATTGATTTCAGTGGGAGCAGAAAAGAGGTATGAGAGCCAGATTACTCATAGGAATAATGCTGATGGACAGTCAAAAGCAATTGAGCTAGTACTATACAAACTGCCACATCATTTGAAAAGTAACTAGAATTACACAAAATATAAGGAGATCCTGAATTTGTCTCATTGCCTGGGTAAAGACTTAGCCAAACTGTAGTGTTTTGCTAGTGATAGCATATTTAGTTATAAGTTTAAAACCTTGTTTTCAGGAGAACTGAGATTT